GCAATGTAGATGGACTCAATCATACCTTTTTGGTGAGAAAACTGCCTTACTATTACGAAATAAGTAGGCAGTTATGCGAAGTAAGAGTAATGAGGCCGAAGAGGACTGTCAAATCATAAGCAGGCTGCAGCAATCCATAGAGAGTTGTCACTGCACGTCTTTAGGACAATCCCTCGTAAATTCCTTGCATTTAGAATTAGAAAGAAGCCTATCCAGAGGAAACACGTGAACAGCATGGCCTTTTTTGATAGTTGCAGTTTTTCCAAGCCACAATCAACAGATTTAAGTAAATTCTCTCTTCTAAGTGATAAACGTTTCAGTGCGATACTACCTACTACTCTGAACCACAAATTAAATGTGGCAGTTTTTCTGCTGAGTATGAGAACCCTTTTTGGCAGAGTGATGACCAGAAATGACCATCCAAGTCTCCCTTATCTCTGTTTGTAATGTCCTTCTGCCTATATTACCTTGCGGCGCAGGCTCGAGTGTGAGCTCAAAATGCACCAAGGACAGACGAGTCTGTCTTCTAGCTGATCGGTGTACGCCTATTTGCTACTGCATTTTCCCAATCCAAAACCGACAAGACTGCGAGCTCACGGCGCAGTGGTTGGAGCGTCGGACTTCTAACCAACAAGGTCACGGGCTCGAAACGCGGGCGAGACATCAATTTCTGGGGCAACACTTAAGTTGGGTATGACTGTCTGACGACGGCTAGTATGCCAAAAATAGCCATCTCAGTCTCCCATGTCTTCCTCGGTAATGCGCTCCTGCCTATAGAAATGTCTGTTTCGGGAACTTTGCATCCATCAATGTTTCCTCTGCGTCATTAGTTACATTCGCTTTTCGGCAGGCGACGACAGTTCCAGAATTAACAGACATGAAATGGTCTATGGACATATATCCATCCAATTGCCCGGAATTATTAATTTTATAAATCCTTACTGGTTTCTTTTATAAATCAGTAACAATAATTGAATCCTCATCGGTACAGGCCACTCACTATTGAGTTAACGATTTTTAGGGGTATGCAAAAGCAAAAACTATGATGCAATCTTAACGGTTTCACTTGAAAAATATCAAAGACTGCCAGGACCTTTTTAATCTTGCTGAAGAAGTTAAAAGTCTTTCAATATAATACTTCAAAATAAATATCATCAACAATTTTGATTTCCTCGATATAAATACGCATTCATACAAAGAATAGACAGTGCAGCATCTAACGCTATTTCCGTAATGAAAAGACGGCCGTCACAAGTGCTCATGCGAGCAGTACAGCCTTGCATAGGGTGTTGTGTCGAACGGTTGAGGATTGTTAGTTCGCTCAAAGAGGTAGAGTTCTAAGCAGTCGTAACCCTCGGGATAATAGTCTTCGTGGAATTTGTTCGCAATGAGATCGGCTGCCTGCATCAATTTTGAAAGACTTTGTGATCCGAGAATGCAAATTCCGTGTGCGGTTTTGGTTGGGCAGTCCTCACCGTACCACTTCTTGTAACGGATGAGAAAGTGAAGACGGGTTTTATCCACGGCCACGTCGTCCTGCTCATGGACACGAAGGCAGGCTCCGGGCCCGCCAAGATGGGGGTTGTAGGCAAGCGTAGCAAAGAACTGTTCATCCGGACACTTATAGAACGCGTGCGTTTGCAGAGCTCTGGTAATTTCCTTGGCTTTTGGATCAAAAAGCATGAATTCCACAAACTCCCTCCTCAGAGCCACATGCACGCCTCCTTTAACCCACGTAACCTGTTGACAGGAAAACACAGAACAATATTATTTTTTTTGTTCCGTAGTCTAAATACACACTTCTGACTAATAATACCGTCATAAATAGTACGAGTACTACTAACACTCAGCTGAAGTATTAGTTAGTAGAAGTAGAAATAGTATAGCCGTATCAGTCTAGGCCTCCTTGAGCCCGCCCTGACACCAATCGAAGGTTAGTGACAGTAGGTAGTGTGGTAGTACCCGCACAGAGTCTTCTGTCGCTTAAGACTAAAGTAAGCGGTGTTTCTGGCTTGCATTGGAGAAGCGGCCAACGCCGGATCCAGTCTGTTCTTCTTGACGCCTGGTGAAGGTGAAGATGCGGTTGGCGCTACCTACGTCTCATATCACTTTAAGGCTACCCCCTGTGACCAGTTACCATCACTACACCAACCTGTTGGTGCATACGGTGGACTTCATCGAAGTCGATTGTCCAGCAATCATATATTCTCCTATCGTGTTAAGACTTGAACATACGCTTAAATAATTCGATGCGTGAGTTGTGCCTTCCTGCATGCACGAGTAGGCATGTAATTGAAAGACTGATTGTTTGATTTTGCGTTTGCAATGTTTCTCCATGATATGCTTCGGTGCTCTTTAGTGCCATTACAATTTCGGCAGAATAAAAGAACCATTTGCGCTCAATATCAAAAATATGCAACCAGTCAGCTAGAGAAGAATTATTAGGGAGGTTTAACAGATTTGAATAATTCAGTTGACCCAACTGTAAAAAACCCGCGGCCTCGGTGGCAATCGAATCCACACAGCTTTTGCGCAGCCAAAGAGGCTGCGAGTATTTTAAAAGTGGGTCAACTGAATTATACAAATCTGCTAACCTCCCCCCTAATTATTCCGTTTGCCTAGTAGTCTATCTGGTGGATTCTAGATTATTGCTTAGGAAATCCTGCCTGGGCAGTTAACTTGCTGTATCTGTCATGGTGGATTCCATGGGATCAGTAGGTTGGGTGGGTAAACTGACCCAAGTGGAATTAAATTGACGGCTCACGGTGAGCGTCATAGATCAATGGTAGAGCGTTAGCAGCTAAAATGTCCTCCCCGCTGTGTGGGTTTGACTCCTTCCTCGGCCGCGAGTTTTTCACAACTGGGTCAACTGAAAAGACAGGAATTCTCATTTTACAGTAGACATGACCATTGTTGGCTGAGCCGCGGGTGCACAGACAACCGTAAAGGGAATGCTTCTGCCAATCGAAAGAAGGAAATGGAATGAGAGTTGCCAGTTAACTTTCAAACACTCTGGAGGTTTATAGTTCATTTACGCCGAAAATGGTTAGCCAAACACCTAGAGTGAGTTGTTGGCAGTTTAAAAATCTTCGGACTGTATTCTGTTATATAATTCAAGCGGCTGTGCCAGCATTCAAGGTAACGGAAGATAATGCTTTAGAAAAGAGTTTTCCTAATATTAATAGAAGAACTTGACCGATTTGAACTCTTTTTAAGGACAAAGACACTGAATGCCTCCGATACGTCACCAGTTGAGTATGACACTGCAGGCAAAAAATGCAAAAAGAAGTTTAATAGTACGGTATCAACCTACCGGAAAGGGCAAGCTAACATTTGGTATTCGACGAACATTTCGATGCTTAACAGTTCCCTCCACTAAATTCGAACCATTTAGAGCTTTTAAAGCCAGTACAAGTTCCAAATTAGTTCTCAGTGGTAATTCCTGACCCGTAAGGTTGATGAAGTACCTCCATTTACCCATTTGCAGCAGAATCCTCGATGCAATTAGTTCCACCTCGAGGACAGTGAAGGTAAACCAACCAACGTCTACACTGTCTTTGCGGGGCACGACTCGCACATTTTTCCCAAAACACTTTTGCACCTGCACCACGGCCTGATAGAATTGGTCGCTAGATTTACGGTCCACGTGAATGACATAGAAATTTTGTGGTCGATAAATCATCCTCAGGAGTCGGGCGACCTGGTTTATATCCTTGAAGACGGCGATGGCAAACGCAATCGCAAATTCCTTTTCGACGTCCGAAATTGGCGCTGACGGGAAGTCCAACTGCCTCCTAAATGCATGGCAGTGCTCTCCTCCATTGGCATTAAACGTAAGGAAATGGTCGAGTGGATACTTCTGGACGAAAGTTCTGTTTATATTGTGGAGGTGAGGGGAATCATTCAGTAAGGATTGGCAGTAATTGAAATGTCTAGGTAACTTAGGCGAAGAGGGGGAAACCTTCCAAAGGGTATAGATAATTGCGCATATAGTAAAACCACACAGCAACTGAAAAAGCTTGCTGTTTCCACTTTTATTTTCCAGCTTCATAGCAGGCTGATCTTCATAAATGTCTGTGTTCCGCTTTTAATTTGCTTCGCTGACGCTTCTGCCAATAATAACTCTGTACTGACTGGCCGCATTACTGGTCATAGTGCAAAGCCAATGGGATGATCCGTAGATCTGGTACCGCGTGCAATCTCAATGGTGCAAATAATTTGCAGACTTTTAATAGCGCTATGCTAGTTCTTTATTTAACGTTTCTGAAGTTGTGGCCAGGATAGAGTTGAGTCTAATTTACGATGCTAGATTTCGCGTTTGTTTATATGCTTTGATAGTTTCTGTTGGAAATAGGTTCTTTGGGAAATGAGAACAAACTTTGTTGCGTAAATATTCGACCCTGGTTCTACAAGTCGGGGTCAGATGTCTAGTGAGTTCACAGAACAGTTAGAATTTTTAACTTGCCTGAAAAAATCAAATATCTACTATGTGTGCCAATGGCTCTCTCGGTTGTTTGGCATTTATTTGGGTTCGTTTTTTCGATACTTTTTGAGAGTATTGTACGCGGTATCCAATTTTACTTGTCGTTTAATGGACGAATCATCGGTATTATTGACCTTTTAATGTCACCGCCTTTCTTAGAATGGCATGAGCCAGCAATGCAAGATTGACCCCAGCCAAATTTATGCCTAAATTCTAGTGAATAGATTGCAACTTGGAAAAAAGTGGCTTGGCCTATTTATCGCCAGGTTGTGTTTGTGTAGGCATGAAGAGGCCGCTTTCCTGTTTGACCACAATACAGTGCACTGTAACTGCCAAAAGGGATCCTGTAAACTTCTTCCTTTTTTACAAGCTGATTTCGCAGTTTAATTTTGGTATTAGTTAAATTCTCCAAATGGAGATATCGTGATCACTGACTTGTTATCGTGAGACTGAGTGAGCCAGAGGGAGCATTTATAATTTAGATAATGATGGCATCCTTCATATTCAACAGGTACGCAAGGAGAGGCAAATTTTTCCATCTAACTTTGTATCCACAGAGCATTAAAACGGTCTTCTTGGTTTCAAAAATTGAAGCTGTATATCTGTTTACATGTACCCTTACCGTACTCCAGAACAAAGGAGCTACATGGAGAAGTAGCCAAGGATCTTAGTCCACTCTGCCGTTAAATGTGTTGTTTGCAAACGTGTCTTGTGTGGTATAAGGCACGTTCGTGTGTGATGTTGATGCTGATGACGAGGGATGTGATACTGTGGTATAAACGATGATGAGTGACCGTAGGTGTTCGTTGAGACGCATGTGGCCTACTAGGCCCATGCTGCATTTGTGTGTGCTTGGGTGGTGCTAGCAGTTGAGATGGTTGCGACAGGTGTATGTTGGTGTTTCTCGCACTGGTTTGCCGGTCTCCGTGTGATGGACTCGCAAATGACCGATCAGGCCAATGCATGATGTGCATGCGCGGTGGCTAGGAGGGTAGGAAAGGTCACGAGGTTCTGTTTCGGTGGGGGTTCTGTAGCTGGTACTGGTGGGCGCGCTTATGGGAAAGCTAGGGATCGAAAAGGTGATAGGTACGCAGGACGTGATAAGTGGGTCCCAATTCCGTAGTATTTCGCTGGCATGAATGTCACTATGACCGAGTAGGCCCATTTGGTGCATAACTGTATGTGGGCACTGCAGGAAGTTGAAGCAGACGTATCTGCAGGCGTTTGTTCACCAGCATCTGAGTCAGGAATTTGTAAGCAACCGACCAGGTCGATGCATGAGAGGAATGCGCTATCAAAATGTAGACAGGTCAGAATCGAGTCGCTATTGCTGGTGGTGCGGGGAAGGTAATGGTGATGGTAACATTCAGGATGCTACCGCTGATCGAGGGCGGCGGGATA